CTGACCTCCATTTCTGATCGCCGTGATCCCTTGGTAGAAGTCTTCAAAACTGATCACGCCAAGCCCACTGGGATCCAAGTATTTCGTTAAGTCCTTCACCTGCAATTGCCAAGTGAGAATATGTTACCTAAGCCTACAAAATTGGAGGGGGATGTATCATGCACTTGACCTTTTCACCACATCCAGGGAAGCAGCCCACTTGCAAGGTGTGGTATGAAAGTAAGAGCCATCGATTCCTCTGATCCAAAGACCACCGACAACTCTGGTCAGAGAACAGGAGGTATCCTGGGAAGAAGATGTCAATGGCACCTGGGACCATGAGTCATGGAATAAGATCTTGCTCTCAAATGTCAAGCTTATTAAGTGGAAAGAGCATCAGTGCTGACATTTTAGGTATTATTCTAGACAGTATCTAAACTATTACACACAGCATAGACCCACACATCCATTCTGACAGCTGAGCAGAATCCTTAGTAAAAATAACTTAGGCAAGTAGACACTGGGTATCAAAAATCATGAAAAGTAAATAGGATAATTCACACATGAATGTCACAGAGAATAAAACTCTTCAGAAAAAAGATGCATATATATTTCCAAGTATAAATTGGATTTCATGAAATTTTTAAAACTTTTGTACTTCAAAAGATATTAGTAAAACTAAAAGACAAGATATACTGGGAGAAAATATTTATAAATCATATATCTGATATAGAACTTGTATCTAGAATTATAAAGAAATCTCATAATTCACCAAGATGAAAACACAATTTTTTTAATGGGCAAAAGATTTAAACAGTTATTTCATCAAACAAGATATATAAATGGCTGATAAGCACATGAAAAGATGCTCAAGACCATGAGTCCTTAGGAAAATGAAAATTAAAACCACAATGAGAACAGATACATCACTCACTAAAACGGCTGTAATCAAAACCGTCAATAACAGTTGACGAGGATGTGGAAAAACTGGAACCTCATACATTGCTAGGAGGAATGTAAACTAGTCTTGCCAATTTAGAAAATCATTTGGCAGTTTCCTGAAAAGTTAAACTTACCGTACAACACAGCAACTCCACTCTTAAGTATTTACCCAAGAGAAAGAAAAACGTGCCCAAAGGTGTGTGTGCAAATATTCATAACAAGCAGCATTATTCATAATAGCAAAAGAGCAAATCAACACAAATGTCTATCAGCTGAGGAAAGAATGAACAAGATGTGGTCTATCTATACAATAGACTATTATTCAGCTATAAAAAGGAATTAAATACTGATACATACTACAACACAAATGAAACTCAAAAACGTTCCGCTAAGTCTCTGAGGGAGCCGTGGTTGCAGTTCCTTCCCATCTACTCCTGCTCTTGCCTCAGCCACTGCATGCACCCGCTGCTCACTCTAGCGGAGGAACAAGTAGGTCAGGAAGCCATGCAGCAGTCATAGAGGTGGGAATGAGGAAAGACATCCATGGAACCAGAGGTGGTGATTCGCAGAATTGGAATTACTCTTATCAGCTGCAAAGTAAAGTCTTTGGGGAAGGTGTGTGCTGACTTGATCAGAGGCACAAAGGAAAAGAATCTCAAAGTGAAAAGACCAGTTAGTTCGGATGCCTACCAAGACTGAGAATCACAAGAAAAACTCCCTGTGGGGAAGTTCTAAGACTTGGGATCCTTTTCAGATGAGGATCCATAAGTGAACACAGTCCTTCTGAGACTGTTAAGCAGATTTCTTCCATCAGTATTGAGCCAGGAGTCAAGGCTGAAGTCATCACTGCAGATGCTTAAATCGACCTTTTTAATAAACTGACTATCAGTTGTTAAAAAAAAAAAACATTCTAAGCAAAAAAGCCAAACATAAAAGACTATAAATTATATTCTTTCATTTACAGGAAGTTTTCAGAAAAGACAAATCTATAAAGATACAAAGCATATCAGCTGGTCGCCTTGGAATTGTGGGGCAGAAGCGGGACTGGCTGCAATCAGCATGAGGGGTCTTTCTGGGGTGTGGAAACACTATAAAACCAGCCTGTGGTGACGGCTGTGTAACTTTATATTTACTAAAATCCACTGATTTATACACTCACAGTGGTGAATTTTATGGAATATAAATTATATTTCAACAAAGCTCTTAAAAATAACTGAATAAAGAGACAAAAAGGATTCAAGAGAGAGTGACAAATATTGAAGTAAGGCAAAGATACATTAGTATGGATAACAGAAGTCTCCGAGAAGAAAAATCAAAGCAAAGATACAGAATAGTAAAACTATATTTATGAGAACTTCTCTAAAAAAAATAACTACATATTGAAAAAATACATTGGGTACCTAAGAATATCAACTCCCAACCCCAAAAGGCCTACTCTAAGACTTAATCTGGTGAATTTCTTGGACTTCAAAGGAAAAGAGAAAAATTCTTTGAATAGCTATGCAAAAATCAAGTGACTTTGTAAAACAAAATTAGATTATCATTAAACTTTTCAGCAGCAACACCAAGTAATAAGGAATATCCTAATTCCATTGTTCCAAGTGTTGAGTCTCAGGTCTTCCACATGACTGAAAAAAAGGAGAAAATGATATGAGACTGAAGATGTTAGGCAAACATCCTATAATCCTGAATTTGAATTTTAAGTATCACTATGAGGTATCATTTATGATGTATTAAAAACAAAACAAAAACCTTCTAATTCTGTCCAATTAACAGTGAGCACCTGGAGCACCTAGGTTGTGGTATTTAAGTTCTATTTCCCATTAAAAGGAATTGGGACCCTTGGAGAAATGCCAGAAAATGTGCGAGTCGAGCCAGGAATATCTCGTTATATCTGAAAGCAAAGAAGCTATCAAAGACTTTATTAGGTCACATTGAGGAACTCAGGAGCAAACCTAAAGAGGCTCTCAATGAACTGAAACATATCAAACATGTTTCAATTCATGAAGGCATAATTACAGTAAAAAATAACTAGTCATCATTGGAGGGCACTAGTGAACCAATTTATTATTGTGAAAACTAATAAATAAAAGGAAAGAACTAAGCAGTTTGCCTTCCTTTCCTACAAACTGTTACTCGGGGCAAGCCATGGTATAGTCATGAAGGAAGCGTCTAAGAAGTGTTCAAACCAGTAAACAAAGAAGGAATAATGGGATTAGAACGTCACCATCCTGCAGTTCTTGATGAAGTAACGGACATAATCAATGACCCTCAGTGCCTCCTAAGGGCACAGAAAGACATACAACCAGACACCAAATGCCTCCTGATGGAAGTGTGTGATGCTACCTAAATCAAACCTGAATCCAACTACTAATTTACAGGAAATATAATGATCAAAGCAACATTTTTCAGGGATGAAATCAGCAAAACCTAGTCCATGAAGACCTTTAAAGAGATAAAGGGACCTGTTATTTTCAAGGCAAAAAAAAAAGTTGGAAAAGAAACCTTCATTAAGAGACTTAGGAGACACATCGACCTACTGCCTATAAGGATTTTTCTGGATCCCGATTCAAAATATTATTTTTTTAAAACCACATTTATAAGATAATTAGAAATTTGAATACTGATCTTGATACTGAATAATGACTGAATATTTGATATTAAGGAATTGCTCATTAATTTTTGTAGATGTGATAATATTTTAGTAATTTTTAAAAGCACAATGTTTTTTTTTGTTATGCTTACTATATGGGCTAAGGCACATATATTAAGATTACATATATGTAACCGACTGGCCATGACTGAGAGTTGCTGAGGCTGGGAGTGGGACACTGGGGAAGTATTATACTACTCTCTTTACTTTTGTATTAGGCTTGAACTTTTCCATAATGAAAATTTTAGAGAGAGGAAGAAAGAAAACAAAAGAGAAAAAGACAAAAAGAACAAAGAAGAGCAAGCAAGAATGAGAGAAAAGATCGTGGGGAGGGAGAGGGGAAAAAAGGATAAGGCATTTAGCCAGGGAGAGCTAACCTTTGATCAAAAAAGGAGGGATAGTCCATACAGAAAACTCTGAAGAATAGGAGGGTTTTGACAAGTGAATATTTAGTGATAAGGTGTAGGCAGGGTGTTTCAAAAGTGGAGAATCAGAGCTAAGGCTATGACAGACATAAGCCCTGTCCAAGGCCAAACCCATTAATCCATGTCTTAGAGAACTTATATCCCTCAGGGTCTCCTCGGGCTGGTAGATGCTGCTATGTTTAGCTCTATGACCATCAGTTGTTGAAAACATGCAACATAAAAGCCAGACTGGCACAAGACCAGCTCAAGCTGACTGATCTTAATAGCCTAGGATTCTCAAGCCAGAGACAGTATCTCCCTCTTCTCTCTCCACAAGAGGAAGAAGATGGCAGCCTCCATCCCAGGGCCTTGAGTGTTTAAGACACTGAGCTCAAAAGTCCACCCATCAGCTGATTTCTTGAAATAACTAAATGCTTCCCTCCTTATCTCACAAAAGCCTTCATTCCTAAAGCACATGATGTCTAGTGAGAACCCTCCTGGGTACCTAAAGAATCATTTAACCAGTCAACCATACTGGCCAATCTGTCTTTAAGAGTCCCAAGAATTTGGACAGTGAAGCTACTAATTGAACACAAAGTACCAAGTTGTTCATTCTGAAATATTAACCCAATGCTTTTGAAACAAATAATTAACTGGCAGTAGACCTTTTTATATGCTATCATGTTAGAATGAGCAAGGATGAATCAAAGTATTTATATTTTAAGGTCCACTTTAACCATATTTTCTTTGGAGAATAAATCAACTTCCATGCAGCCGATGATTTGAGAATGGTTCTAACAATCCAAGCCCAAAGTTCTCCATTCACAGGCTTTCAGAAAGAAAAAAAAAAAAAAAAAAAAAGCAGTAAGGTTGAAAAATAAGAAACTGCTCTTTCATGGAAAATTAGCAGAGCCAGAAAAATCTAAGCCAAGAGATGTACACCAGAGCATCCAAAGCAAGCCAGCACCCTCTCCAGCAATCATGCAGCAAGTTACAGAAACACTATGGGAGAAAAATCCACTTTGCAACCACTTATAGATGAATGGACAGAGCTGGCTCCTGCAGGATTATTCTAATACGAGAAATTTACTAACAAATTATATTGTTTCTGCTATAGATGT